GGAGCACCCGGGGCTCGGCGTGGGCAGCGTGGCCGCGGGGGGACCGGGACCTTGGCCTTGGCCCTTCTCCTCTCCTGCCAGACGTCTCCTAACTGCGGGTTTGTGAGGTCTTGGCCACAGACCTCTGCCCCTCACGACTTAAGCCAGGTCTCAGCCTAGACACAAGCCCAGCCCAGCCAGCAGCCGATGCGCGGTTTGCGTGGAGAGGACTGCGTGTCGCTCCCCGTGCGCTTCGAGGTGGAAGGCGGGAGGGTGGGCTGGAGTCGGAGACCCCGATTAATGGCATCAGAGAAGGGGAAGTGCAGGCTCGGGAAGGAGAACTTGGAAACCCGCCTTTCTGTGCAGAGCCGGGCGCCGGCGGGAAGGAGCTGGGATGGGGAAGGGGAGGGAGTCGGTGCCGGGAGCCAGGTCCCCTCGGCGCAGCCTCTGCCCGGGGCTGCTGGTGCCGGACCCTCTGCTGTGCCCCTGCGGACTGGACGTGCGCAGCCTCGTTAGGCAGACAAAAGCTCGTCAGTAAGCCCAGACAATTAAAGGAGCAAGTGTCCCACTAAGGCATCGAGCCGTAGAGGTGCGGGCAGGCTCATGTGAGGTGATGCTTAATTATTCACCGCCTCTCGTCTCCCATCTCGGTGCCTCCTGCGAGCCTGGGTGGGGCCCACACCCGCCTTAATTGGGGAGGCTTGTTCATTTATTATTTTTTAAAGGGACATTGCTGCATTTAGGCTGGGAGGACAGAGGCAATGGTGCCCGGTGCAGGCGTGGGGCTGCCTGGCGTGGCCGTGCCCGTGCCCTTCACCCCTTTTCTTTCTCCCGTAGGTGCCGAAGGGCGGCAGCGTCCCACCGGCCACCGAGATCGCGAAGCCTCCGGTGGTGCCCCAGGCCCAGGAGAGGAAGCCCCAGGTGGCCTACAAAACTGAGATCATCGGGGGGGTGGTGGTCCACACGCCCATCTCCATCAACCAGGTGAACTGGCAGGATCTGGGCACTGTCCCAAATCTTGGGGGTAAAATCCCTGCGAAGTCAGCACCCCACTTTGGTGTCTCTGTGCCCTGTGTTTTAAGAGCAGCTCCGAATGGGGATAAGCAGGGAAGGTGGCAGCTTTCTCCATGCGTAGCTGGGCGAGGGCATTCCCACCACGCCCCGCTTTGATGTTCCCACACCTCGCTGCCGGGGGCCCTTCGGCACCCGAGCCGTGCTTCGAGGGGTCCCTGCCCCTTTGTGTCCCCTGGGCTTTGTGGCCGCTCCCGTCGTTGCCCTGCCCGCAGGGGTGCGCTGCCTTCCGCACCCAGCGAGGCCAGGGGTGCTGGGTCTGCAAACCCCCAGTTGCAAATGGTGCTCGGATCCCTGCCGTAGGAAGGGAGAGCGCAGGGAAAGCGGGCGTCTGGGCGTTGTTATTCCTTTAGCTGTGCCCCCCCAGTCCGGAGCAGCGCGGTGGTGGGGAAGGACGGTCAATACGCAGCAGCGCTGGGCTCTGCCGGTCCCTAACCCCATGGCGGAGCAGCAGGGCTTGTGGCCGTGGGTCCCGCGGCGTGGTGCTGGGCGGGGGTGGGGGGTCCGGGGCTCTGGGGGTCCGGGGCAGGTCCAGCCGTGGGGCTGGAGGCA